GTTGAGGGAAAGGGGCCGACGTGCGAAATGGCAGCCGGGGGCCGCTCCGTGCCCTCCCCGGCGCCGGTACGAAGCGCTGCGGAAAACGGGCCGTAGTGCCTGCGGTGGGTGCCGGAGCAAACGTGACTCGGCTCAGCAGTGGGCTGAGTCTCCTTTATTGCGGGCCCCTCGACTCCTCTCTGCCGCAGAAGGAAGGGAGAAGGCTTGTTTTTGGCTATAGCTAAAGATAAGAGTCTGCGTGAAAGAGGAAGGCCACGGCTCTGTCCTGCAGCGATAGGCGAGTGACACGTGTCAAGTGAGAGCGGTGCTGTTCGGGGGAAGGAGTCTTCGAGGGATGGCGTGAAATGTTGGGAAACAGTTATTCTTAGAGTAGTATTAGCAGAAAGTTTTTCATGAGCAGGTACACTTGCGTATTCAGCCAACTTTCCTGACAGCTTTACTGTTCCGATTAACTACTCTAACTCTTCCTGTTGTTTTTCTCAAATGTCATTGACTTGCTACATCTGTCTGTTCCGCTGCATATTCTTATGGGAGGCTTAATGAGGCAAGGACTTCTGTTTTGTAGAGTTTAGCAAAATGAGATGCTGATCCTTAAATGGAGTCCTTGAGCAGAACTGTGAAACAAATACTGAAATTTAGAAACTAATTTTTGTGCATACAGTTGTACAGGATGTATGTAGGACAAAGGTAACTTTCCCTCTCGTTTGTGTATCCTAAGGTTTAAAGGACTGTGTTAAGGCTTTCCACAGAAAAGAGAAACCTCCAGAAATTCCAAACGGGATGGGGTGCAGTAGCCAGTATGCTTAAATATTTGTTTTAAAAATACATCCAAAAAACATAAGACCAGGAATAGCATATAGTAGCTGGTATACTTAAATACTTAGTTTTAAAAACAAACATAGAAGTAAAGGAGAAAGCTTGTGGCATTAGTTGTAGTTAACTGCAACAGACAAGATGATTAATAAAAGCAGCTAGCTGTTTCTTTAGTTATATGTATTAATAGTATCCCTGTTGGCTTTAAACTTGTATTCAGAATATACTTATGATTCAGATGTGTATTTTTAACTGACTCATTGGACTTGGGTTTTGAATGTGCTTTTATCTCTAGGGAGGGGAAGTATGGGTAAAGGAAGATGAATACGTGTTATTACAGATATGAATATCTTATACACACAGTGCAAAATCTACAAACTTTGTATATTAACTCTAGTGTGAGTTGCTTTTTCTCAGCAAGTTTTCTCAAGTTCTTCATCGTGCTCCTACGCATTTTGTAAATAAATGAAACTGAACAGAATATAAGAAAAAAACAAATTGAGGAGGAAAACAGAGTAGTTATTTGTGTTAAGCCCATCTGCTGATATTTATATATAGGAAGTAATAGAAGTTTATCTTCAACTTCTCCAGTGTTTTTCAGTATATCCTCATTTTTATTGCAGTGATGCGAAGTTTAACAAATGTTATGCTATAGCATTCACATTAAGTCCTTCTAGGATTCATTAATAATCTCATTTCAGAGAACACTGAATTATGGGCAAACAGAAATCTCCAGGTCTCCAAGTTCTCAACAGCTTTCTCCTAAATATTCCTATTATGCCATTATCAGCAGCGGATCGTTTGGAGTTTCAGTTCTGCCCTTTAGGGGTGGATAAAGGATTACAGTTCATGGTTTTTGTCCCTCCCCAAAGGGCCGAGTGGTATTGCTTGTATAGCTCACTGTCTTGTGCTGTTTCAGAGATTAAACTGGGATGCGAACTGATGTCTGCTAACGATGAGTACACAGCCATAGTTTTTATTTTCTATTCCAGTGTAAAAGAGCAAGAAGAAATGTAACGTTGTTTGCTTTAGACTGATGTGGGGAGTGACTAATCATCTAAAGGAGTGGATGGGAAAAAGATTTTGGTTCTTGTCTACAAGCTTATGTGATGCCATGGTAGTAGGAGGTATCTATAACATTAACAGCCTCTTTCTTTTAAGAATGGAAAGATGGGTATTGTGTTGTTCATAAGTCTTCAGTTTGTCTGTGTGACCAATAACTGCTTATGGTGGGGCAGTAAGAATCCCTGTTGGCTACATCTGGGGTTCAGTGTTCCTTTTCCTTCCAATCCTCAATTCCTTTTCTCTCATTGTGTGAATTCATTCAATTAATTTGTCTTTTATATCCAATAAAACATAAGGCATTGAGTAACATACAGGACATTGCTGCACCCTGGTAGTAAATGCTAAGCATGTTCTTTAAAAATTACTTTGATATTGGGCATAAAATTTTTCCCCTGTTAGCCTAGTAAAAGAGTAACCCTGGGGAGGGAGGGAGAATAGTATAAGCAAGATAATAATGGAAATAAGAAAATGGTGCTATTAGAAGGAAAAAACACTTCTATGGCTTTCAGTGTTTCTTAGAGGAAAAGTAGACTTGAAACTTATTTTGGGCAAATCTACCTCAAATAGAAAATAATTAAATGTTCTAATCAACACAGTTGATGAGGAAGTTAGATGCATATGTTTGTTTACTGGTAATATAACTGAATTTAGTAAGACTTTTCTTGAAAATCAAGATGTATCAGAACTGTGTGAATATTGCCCAGAATTGATCAGAATATCAAAAGTATGTTCTGTTATGAGGGTTTTGAAGTGTCTGTGCCACTAATTAAATAAATGCTGTGCAGATACTTTCTCAACATGTTCCGGCATGAACTGTCCAAAGTACACCTGTCAGAATAAATATATAGATGCTTTGTACTTGCTGCCATTGAATCAAAGAGGGTAGTGTGAATTCTTTCTCAGCTAACTAATGTGAGTCTTTTCATCCCTACACTAATGAATCCACCTTAATCTTCTGCACTGAACAAATAAAGTATGTTTCTTGATGGGTATCACTCTAACTTCTTCATCAGAAGAGCAGGAGTCTTGTTAATATATTCTGCAATTCTGTTTAGGAAAGGGATGCTGCCTTTTCAGCGCTGATGATACCCTTGTTCTTTCATTCCTGTGTACTAAGAGATTCTACAAGTTGTTAGAGCTTGTGTAACTTATCAGTTTTTCCTGCTTTCCTTCTGGTGTTCTCTGTTGTAAAACATAAAGGTATGATTGTGAGAAATAGAGAAACTGATTGCATCATTGACTGAGCCGATATTCTGGAATTAAATTTAGGAAACAAACAGGAAAAACTACACAGATTTCAACCAAGTCATTTGTTCCTTGCAAACAGATGCTTTCTGAATGCTATTCAGATAGTTATAATTTTGTTTAGTGAATAAGGTATGAGAATAGAATACAAGATAACTTTCCCTGCTTAGTTCAGCCTCTGGGCTTCTTAGTCACAGTTCAGTTCCCCTTGCTATATACATCTGGGTATTTAATCTGTAGTATAAGATGATCAGGATAATTATCTAATAGCACCTTGAGATCATCCGATGAAAAGTTCTTTTCTAGGAGGTACCAACTACCTCTTAGGTGATACTTAGTACAGGAACCT